AGGCTCCAGACCATTGTACACATGACAATTTATCAGGCCTACACTCCACATCACCATCCTATCTGGCGGAGTTGGGACCATGGACTAGGTGATGCATCACCTAATCCGATGCACCTTGAGGGTCGACCCTCCAATGTTGAATTGAGGTGACACATCTATCGTTTCCTTCCAGGAGTTCTTTCAAATAAATTTCTTTATGATTGATTGATGTGACGGCTCTACAACTAGACGCTTAAAAGGTTAAATTGTCAACCTATAATCAAGGAGTCAAATTAGGCTTTAGAACAGCTACACGTCACAAACATTAAATGCCCATTAGCTTACCTCAGTCATCAAAATGAGGGCACATGTCACTTCATCTAATGGTTATCATTTCTTCTCTATTACTATAAAAGCTCACACATTATGTCATCTGAAGATAATGCAGCTTAGATTGTCAAAGTTATAAGTTTACTTTCAATATGTTCACTTAATAGTCCGTGTCATTTCAATTTAATTGTATACGAAGTATTATTATTGATATTTCTTTAATGGTATATGATGATGTTTTTATTAATTGTTTGTTAACACAGTAATAATTATGTTGTGTGGAAATTAATCGACTTAATGTTTCAAGTTAATTGTATAGGTTGGTCTAAAAAAGGTTTCAAGTTAATTGCGGTATGCATGCTTAAAATTAAAAATGGTAAATTACGTAGGTTTCAATTTTTTTATTTAATTGTATATTAATACTAAGTAATAATTGTATTTTGTGGAAACTATTTGACGTAATATTTTTAAAAATAAATATTTTTTGTGGAAATAAATTGAATATTAAACAAAAAATCGAACGTTTCCCACTTATCAACCCTTGATCCGTCTTACTCTCAAAAAGAATTTAATTTGATCAATGGTACACCATGGACCCTTGAGGGAATTTAAATAAATAAATACTACTAATAAAATGTATCTTGCAATTATATTATCTAAATTTTAATTATCGATCAACCAACACCTACTAGAACATGTGGTATGTTGGTTAAGCCTTTGTCTTATAGGGTCCAGTCCCATAATAAACCTGGGATCCACATTTTGGTGGGACCAATTGAAGAAATGTAGGGTTCTGAATTTGGGCAATGATTCTAAAAGGGTTGAATTATTGAAGAATTTGGAATTCCAATCAAATATCTACAAAATAATTCACACGTGAAAAGGTAACATAAAGGCAATGGTGATTAAAAGAAAGCTCAACGAAAACTATGTAGAAAGTTACAAAAAGGTAAGATTGACAAAAAGTTGTTACTTTCACTTTTTACACTTTGGCCTTTGCACGGAGTGTTGAAGGAGAAGTAATGATGTTAAAATAATAGTTTTCTTCATAGCTTTAATTTGTTAGTAAAATGAAAACACTTTCTTATAACTATTCATTTAAAAATGGTTCATTCGATGAGAAAAATATCATGTGATTTAAATTGTGTATGCATAAATGCAAGATTAGCGGTATAAAGTTGCACGACCTGAGAATTGAATTGACTTGCATTTGCGCTAAGCTTAACTCCATACGACCCATCTAAGAATATTTGTGCAAAAAGGGCTAATTGATTTAAATTGTATGTCCATGTTTGATAGAAATTAAGATTAAAATTTTAAACTCATTCAAAGTTATCAACTAATTTTAACAAAATTTTATGGAACTCACAACTTTTTAACAACACATTTCATCAGTTTTTATCAAAATTTACTAAAAATCTAATTTTAATCTTACCAAAAAGGGGCTATATATGTGTACGTATTATTTACATGCAATTATTGTACACATGAGATAGGAAGAGAGAAAATCAGAGGAAGAGTAGAAGTCTAGAGACTAAAGTAAGGCCCCATTTGGTAGGATTTTTTGCCCCAAAAAATTAATTTTTTGACCGTTATTTTACTATTCAAGCCGTAATTTTTGACTTCTTCTCTCACATGTGGACCCCACTTTTCTTCTAACGGTCAAAAAATCAATTCTCAAAATTCCTACCAAACGGACCCTAACTCGATTCTTGTTGACTTACTCGTGGACAACTAATAACTCATTATAGTCTCTAGACGAAAGCACGAGATGTGACTCTATTTGCATGGACCTCAATAGAGTCTGATAACATAAATTTCACAATAGTAGAACTCATTTTGACACATAGATACAAATCTCAATAAAGATGTATTAATGACATAATTATGGAAGTGGAAAAGGCAGAGTGAAGCACTCGTGCAAAAGTATAGTTAAAAATAAGGGGAAGAATTTAGAAATGTCATTGTCCGTCACACGAGGGCTAAAAAGCTAGCACGAAAACCCATCCTTCTACCCACGTGCGTACCTTTGACAAAAAACAAAAAAACGATAATAAAGATAAAAAGAAATATTTCATGTCGAATATGCCCCCTCATAATTACTAAAATTTAACTGTGGACACCCTGTGATTGCCACAACATTTTGTTGCATTTATCTCCAACTGTAACACACTAGTCCCCTGTTTGGAGCTAATTCTTCAAAAAGATTAAAAGAGAAAAAAGAGCCGTTAACTCGGAAGGTGGACCCCTATATATGAGAGTAGAGTAAAAAAAGATGATTAAAAAGTGATAAGTAACGATCAAATTGGAAAATCAGGCAAATCCAACAAGCGCTAGATTTATATCTCTATACATAACTAACATATGCCCACTTTCGATCATAAAGTATGAACTCATTTTGTTTTGTTGGCCATTCATGGTTGGCCGTGGCTCAATCTATTTGCATGACTCAATTGGAATCTGCTCACGATAGTTATTAAAGATTTTTTTACCTATTGTTCGTTGGTAAAACTTTGGTTTGTTAATAAGTTGGTCAAACTCGATCAAATTTCATTTTCAATCATTTAACTAGATTCACAAATTGCTAAGTGAGAAATGCCACCTAATGTCTATTTTGCCATTATTAATCAGAATTGGACTAGCTTGGGAAGTAACAAATACTGGATGACAACTTAAGTCCATGTTTACCTACCAATAAAATGATTGTTTTTTAAATTTTTTTTTATGGTTTCGGGTAGAAAAATGAGTTTTGAAATATTGATTTTTTGACAAAGGTAAAAAAAAAAAATCCACTAAAGTTGGTACTTGGGTTCGTGATTACCCGCTTAATTTGATATTTGAGAGGGAGTCGGGTAACAACTAACAAGGTCCACGCCCCATCCCGTTTAATCTTTAAATTATTTAAATTTTCAAATTATTTTTGCTTTTATGGGTAATGCAATTATATCACTTGATGAAGTTTGGATTTAACATTTATTTTATTTTTTAGTGGTTTTATATTCATCGTATCATGGAATCACCATAATCAAATACCTCTAATAAAAATGATTTTTTTTTTTTAAATGTAGACGAGGAAGAGACTCTGCCTGGCCTCGTTCCCAACCCGTCCGATGTGGGGTGGGAGGCAGAGGAGGTTGCCCCGACCTCGACCTGTCATGTGGTCATTCTTATTTTTTGAAGAACGTGAGGTTAAAAGGTTGTCTCGACCTCGACTTGTCATGTGGTCATTCTTATTTTATTATGTGAATGTGTCGTCGATAAAGAATTTGAGAAAAAAGAATTTATTTAACGGAAGACAAACATGGGCTAAAATCCATTTAGATATGGAGGTCAATAATGTCATTTCGAAAGTTACATGTTAATTCCAACATTATCTATCATGTTAAACTCGAACAAATCCCTCATTACATGTGTAATTATTTCACAAATCTGAAATCTCTGTTTTATCACTTTTACTTGACCCCACCATCAATATAATTACAAAATAACAGCTGAAGAGAGAGACTATCACAAGAAAGAGTAAAATAGAAGGAACAAATATGATATTTATATTAGGCATTCTTTAATGTTTAACTTGTAGTAATGCAACACAAGCTAAAGAAATAGGAAAATGTACAGAATTTCCCCTACCGAAGAATTCCAGATACTCATGGGAGTGGACTCCATGTGAGTAAAATAATCCAAAAAATAACTCACCAACCCCATGCTGTGTGTATTCTTTAAGATATCTGTAAAAAATTGTTCTGTACGTGTAACAGAACTCAAATAAATATACTGAGAGATTTTATCTTTGATATGCCTTGCAACGTAATTGTTCATTTTAAAACATTATCGTCAAACTTGCTCGTTCATTTAAATTTTAAACAAATAGAATTGTTCGAACCTTTGTACGAAATTTATTACTTGAGTTTTAAAATTTTTATCATTGTCAAGAAGGTATATTCACATCCATTGCTTTATTAATTCATATTCGACTCCGGATTACAAGCATTTAAAATACATATACTTTGACGTTTATGCCTCAAAAGAAAATGCGTAAAAGTGTAAAAGGGTAGTTTGTATACACATTAATACCGATCATTCACTTGCCTCCATGTCTATAAAGACCTTGTGACTTATAATCAAATGAATCTCGATTATAGGGGGCCCTTTCTTTCCTTTTTAACAATTTTATGGACGAACAAGAGTAAAAAAGTTATACATGCCTGTCAGTTAAAAGCTTGCGAATTGGACAACAAGTATTACTGTATTTGCTTCTTAACCTCCTAAACTTATAAAAGTACTAACACCCCTCTTTTATTTAGTAATAATTAGGTAACCATTGGCAAATCTAGGGGGACTAGGTTGTGATACAACCCGTCTCCCAACCCAATTCATAATTTAAAAAAATAAAATTAAGTAAATTTGTTTTTTATGTGTGAATTTTTCTTTATTATGTATTAGTCTGCCTTAAAATTTTTCTTGTATCCGCCCTTGTAGGCAACTAACGCCAGCTACTCTATTATACTATACTAGTTGTGAGTCGTTAGCACTTGACTACTAATCTAATAAGTACTGTGCACCTAAAAAACGGTTTTTTTATTTGGAAAGTGTTTGGAAAAAAAAAAAAATACGATGTAGATGGGGGGATGGGAATATATAAAATAAAAGACAAGAAGCACCAAATAAATAAAATAATTTTATGAGTTCAATTATAAAGGCACCGTTTCTTGGTTTGTTTGTGCTTGTGTCTCTCCTTCTCCAACTATGCCATGTGATCTTTCCTAGCATTCTTGATTGACTTCCGACGAAAGCTACAGCTAGAAATTCATCAATCTACACGTCAACCCGCCGGAATTTGACGACAAATCGCTGCAGAGAAAGGAATTGCCATGAGTAGTGTTCATAATAGCTTGGAGACTGTAAACGCTGCGGCAACTGCCATAGTTACTGCTGAATCCAGAGTTCAACAGCCTACGGTACAGGTATATATAGAGTTATTGTTGTATGATTTTGTGTGTTTGTAGAAGTTTTCCTGTTTATTTTTCTTATTGCCAGTTTTTGGATGTGGAAATGTTGTTTGATGTTAATTTTCTTGATTTGTCTCTGTCTTAGTTTTAATTAATTTGTTGAATGTCAAGATTGAAACTGAAATTGATGTAGTTTGGTTGATGATTTTCGTGTTTTGGTTGTCGAATTTGAATCTTTTTTTATTTTTGTTTTTATTTTTATTTTTACGAAAGGAAGAGGGGAAAAATAAAGATTGAACTTTTGATTTTTCAATATGAGAATTTAGGTAAAACTAGTATAAAAATTCAAGAAATACTGTTTTGTAAGCTAAATCCATTTTTTTTAAAGCTAAATTTGACCTTGAATTGGGATTTGGACAGAAGAGATTGGTTTTTACTTAGTTGGAGAAAATATTGTTTATGATTTAACTGTATTTGTAAAATTTTCTTGTACTGTATCACAATTGAAGTGCATAGAGAGATTGAATCAATGGGATAATATTCATCATCAATTTACTCGTCGTAGACCATTCTTTTCCTTTCAATTCCAGCTTTGACTGAGAATAAGCAGTGGATTCTAATATTGGTTATTCTTTATGAGCTCTTGGGGCCATGGACACCACAAACAGAAAATCATTTTCGGAGGAACGTTACGTGGACTTTTATTCAATATGCATTAAATTTCTGCACCTGGGTTTGAAGGCTTTAACAAATTACATAGTTGATAGCTTTTGGTTGGTCAACTTTGGCCTGGATGTGCCAATCCTTGCTTTTTGCTTCTTTTAGACGAGAGAAGCAGCAAAGGCTTTCAACATCGAACTCCAAGGTCAAAGGATGTTGGCATGAGAAACCTTACTCAAATTCTAGTGCTAATATAAAAAATGAACGCTGAAAAAAGGAGAAGTAACCAAACGTGGCATAAATGTAGCCATGACACTGCTAACGTAAGAAAATGAAGACTGCAAGGAAGGAAAATACAATTTCAGTCAGTTAAGCTATTGGTATCGGGATAGAATTATTAACAACTAGATTTCTGCGGATTACCTGATGGTGGATTGCCTACTAACCTGGAGAAGTAAACTTTGAGGTGAAGGACTTTCGATGAACCTGTCCAGTGAAGCTGTTTAGGTGCATTTCTAGCTATTCATATTTAATTCTTTGTCTAATTTGGTTTAGTGCTTCTTGAAACTAACTTCAAGAGCACGTGGGGAATACTATGGTCTTAGTATGACAAAGGAGGGTAGTGAATTTATCCATTATCATTTAAACAGGAAGATTGAAGTAATATGTGGACTTCCACAATGTTAATCAGCGGGAATGAAATTAAGCAAAAAAGTTGGCTTTAACGCGGAAATTCATAGTCTTTGGCTTCTTATATGTATTTACTTGACATATTACGGAAAATCTGCAACTTAATTCATTCAGTTTTAGGAACACAAAGTATGTCCTGCCCAATTACCTGTCTTTGCAAAACTGGAATGGGAAGAAAGTCATCTTTCTAATTAGTAATAATATAAAATGTACCATGTTTTTACCATTTTTTTTCTTCCTCCTCCTATCTAGTGGAGGAATCCCTCAAAGTTGATTACTTTAATTGCTTACCTTACTCCAGTGTTTTATTCAATTGCATTGTACTTACACGGTATTTGACCAAATGGACTGCAAGTAAATCTGTTTGCATAAGGAAGTAATTTAATCGAAAGGTGCAACATGATTAAGTAACGTAATAATTAGTTTACTTCCCGTGATTTCACTTTTTAAAGCCAATTGAATTGTCCATACCTTTGTGTGCTTGTCTCCTAGCTGTTTACACTATGGATATGCTTGTCGTCCTCTTTTTGGCAAAGGGTTAAACCAAAAAAAAGAAAAGAAAAAGAACTCTTTATGCAAAAAGGGAACCCTCTCCACCTCTGAGTTTTCTTTGATTGGATCTTACAGATCACTAATTTGACTTAATACATGACATTTATTGTGTTTATTCTGCTTCAGAAGAAAAGATGGGGAAGCTGCTGGAGTCTTTATTGGTGTTTTGGTTCACACAAACCCAAGAAACGAATTGGTCATTCGGTCCTTGTTCCTGAACCAAGTCCACCCGGGGTTGAAGCTCCTGTTGCTGAAAATCCTAACCATTCTGCCACCATAGTATTGCCTTTCATAGCCCCTCCCTCTTCTCCTGCATCTTTTCTCCAATCAGATCCTCCATCCGCCACCCAATCACCAGCAGGTTTACTTTCCCTGACGTCCCTGTCTGTTGATTTATACTCTCCGGGTGGGACAGCACCAATTTTTGCAGTTGGCCCCTATGCTCATGAGACTCAATTAGTTTCACCACCTGCGTTTTCTGCCTTCACTACTGAGCCATCAACTGCTTGTTTTACGCCCCCTCCTGAATCAGTGCAAATGACAACACCTTCTTCACCAGAAGTGCCATTTGCTCAACTTTTGACATCATCACTAGCACGCAATCGTGGAAACAGTGTAACCAATATGAAATTCTCATTATCCCAGTTTGATTTTCTGCCTTATCAATACCCAGGAAGCCCTGGAGGTCGTCTTAAATCACCAGGTTCAGCAATTTCTACTTCAGGAACGTCTTCACCCTTTCCTGATAAGCTCCCTATAGTTGAATTCCGCAAGGGGGAAGCTCCCAAATTTCCTGGCTACGAACACTTTGCCAATCGTAAGTGGGGTTCAAGAGTTGGTTCTGGATCATTGACTCCAACAGGTTGGGGTTCAAGGTTAGGCTCTGGAACATTGACACCTAATGGTGGGCTTTCTAGGTTAGGTTCTGGAACTGTAACACCTAATGGTGGGGAACCCCCATCTCAAGACAGTTATCTTCTAGAGGGCCAAATTTCCGAAGTGGCATCCCTTGCCAACTCATATAACGAATCGAAAGATGGGGAAGTTGTAGTTGATTATAGAGTCTCATTTGAGCTTATTGGTGAAGATATTCCGACTTGTGTGATAAAGGAGTCGGTTCCATCACACAAAACTGCATTGCAAACTGTACTGGAGACAGCAACAAATGGTACGAATCAAAGTGATTTGATAAAGAATACTGATTGTTGTAGCGAATATTCTGATGGGGAAACTGTCAGTGAAGTTCCCAAAATGGCTCGGAGGCATCGTACCATTTCACTAGGTTCTAGCAAGGATTTCAATTTCAACAATGCAAAGGAAGAAGTCTTAGACAAGTCTGCCATTGACTGTGATTGGTGGACCTATGACAAAGTTTCGAAGAATAAATTAGGTCCTCGGAAAGACTTGACTTTCTTCCCAATGCTTCAGCCTGGGGTCAGCTAATGTCAAAATGTATGCATATCTTCAATAAAGATTCAATGTTAAGTTTTACGAACTTGGAACTCGTGCACCGTTTCAACCTGAGAATGCAATTATGGAGTTAGAGATTTTGCAGGCCCGTGAAAGTCATGTACAAATGTGTTCAACAGCTTCGTTGTTAATGTAAGATCATTTCAAGAGTATTGTTTAAGGTTTTCTTTTTTTTATATTCTTTATTTTAGATGTATACACTAATCAAACAAGTTTTTCTTCTTCTGAATCAACTGTTAACAGAAACGAACATTCATGTAAATGAATTCGTTAATAAAACCTACTGCCTGCCTTGTATTATATGGGAGAAATGGAAGTGGTTTACTCTTCTAGCATTGTATTCAAGGATCTGCTGGGATCTTTGCTTATCTTTTTATTGCCTTGTGTATTTTCTTAAACTGTATACGAAATATTGGGTTTGCAGTATGTTGGAGCACTCGCCCACTGTTGAGCTCGGCTAGGTTCACCGATGAGCCAGCTGATGCTTGCAAGAGGAGCACGATTTGGGATAGTCACTAACTCCAACTATAGTCTATGAATGATATGTACTAGATCTAACTAACTGTCAATTCTATCTACTCTACGTTCTTGACAGTTCCACTGCATCTTTAAATAAGCTTATTTTAGTCATTTTTCACACTACAAAAAAGTGAGCCAACAATTTAGGAAAAAGATACTATTGTTAAAGTCTAGACAATTAGACACCCACCTCATAATTGCAACGAGCCAATTACAAGAGCAAAGCTCTATCATGCTATATCCCTCTAAGTCCAAGTGAAGCATACATGAAGTAGTCAGATCCTTCTACTCTCTTCCCTGAAGCGATTGGGCCATTCTCAACTTACTGCAATAATCTCCTTGCACGGAAAATCGATTCCTACGTAAGTAAATGGTGTGTCACTGGACAAATGTGGGAAACATATTAAGAGATTGGTCCACCAGCTGGCTCCCATTTCCATTGGGCTGCTGCAATCAGTAGAGTAGGGTATGTTCTAAGCAAATTCCTCATGTATAGGAGATTCATGTCCCTGTGACGAAACAGGCCAATGAGGTAGCACCATATGGCAAGACATCATAGGATTTATATACTAGAACAATTGGTTAACAACTATATAGTACTGAAAAGATTGTTACCACTTAAAAACTCTCCAACAGGGAAGACACTTGTGTTCTTAATTCTCACAAGCCTCGATTGAAGATATTATTGTATACAAATTATTAATTTATATTTGTATGTTCAATATTTTACTTCAAAAAAACTATTTAACATAAATTATATAATAAAAATATGGCGGTCAATCTAATCTAACTGAAGTTCTAACGAATAATCATTGTCTTCTTTTATTAATTAAGTTTAAATGTTTAATAGATGGATCAAATGATCGAATCTTGTGGAAAGTAACTTCTTTAAGAGATTGAAATGTCTTCTAATGATGCCAAGCACAAGAATTAGAAAATTAAGGTCTGTGTTAAAATCTAACATTATGATTTTTTAAGTATAATAATTGAAACCCATAACTTTAGTTAATTTTAAGACAAAGTGATGCAGCACCAAAATGATGATTAATATAAATAGAAGAAAGATTCAGAAAGAATGGGGAATTAAGGGAGGGGATAGAAGGAGAATTCAATAGAAGAAGGGGAGGGATGCGCCATAAGCCACCAAAATAATTATTCATTCATCATCAACTGAAAATTACAATGCAAAATGGGTTTAAATAGTAAAGCAACCCTAACGAGCTTGGGCCCGAGCCCATACAAGTCCAAATTTAAATAATAGTCCAAGAAAATAAATAAAGCTTAAATAAAATAAGTAAACGTCGTCCGATATCCTCATCAACTCTTCCGGGGTGGGAGAAAAACTCGACCCTGTCGAGTTGATAGATAGTATAGGTTGCAGTCAATCTGATACTCCAAATGCTTCAAGTCAAGTCACGGGGGATGATCTTTCTGACGAACCAAGTAACGAAATTCCATAATTGATAGTACTGAAAATTGTAGCTTATTCCCAAGAATATGATCTGACCAAGGGGGCCGATCTTTCCTTCTAACCAAGTACTGATACTGGACTTCAAATAACCAATACTCATGCACCTCATCTTCAACATTTTCACATGATTGTACATAATGAGGAGTATAAGAAGTACGTCGATTTACCCAACAAACAAGGAAATACAGAATTTTGCCATCATTAGTCAATACATCACGTTCATCTAAAATAACATCAATTTTATCTTTGTGTGCTGTGATAGATGGTATTAAAGTAGAAATATCAACATAGTCAAATTGGGGGTCCACAAAGTTAGGTAGAAATGGATCATCAAAGGAAGTAATACGGTATTTGTAAGTAATGAAGTCCTCAATATTTAAAGTAGAGTGGTGGCTAAAATGTGATGAAAGGGCAATGACATGTGCATTTGAACCAACATGCTTTAAAATTTTTAAAGGACCATCACTACTAGCTTGCAATATGACATAATCCCCAATATTAAATTCAAAATATTGTTTATGCGAATAAATTTGAAGTTTATATAGTGCATTACTTGCGTCATGTTGTTTATTGATCTCAATATGCAAGTCATGAAGATGATATACAAATGCTTCAGCTGACAACAACACACTAGCATGCTGGGACATGGGAATAAGTTCTAACGGTCGCCTAGACTTATAACTATGAACAACTTCAAATGGATTTAGACCTAGAGACCGATTCATAGAATTGTTATATGCGATGTGAACAGTTGGGGGGATCGACTCCCAATTCTCAAGATTTTTCTGTACTAGAGACTGTAATAAATTGCCAAGACTTCGGTTAGTAATTTCGATTTGACCATCAGTTTGAGGTTGGTTAGTAGTGGAGAATTTCGATTTAGTGCTAAGAACAAGCGACTGGATTCTTCAAGGGTGACTAGTGAAATCATCAAACTCTTTGAGTTGGGTAAGGGTATGACATATAACATGTGATCGAGAGTTGTCGGAAACAAGGGGTATAGTTTCTAAAGTCTCGGGAAGGGTCGGAATTCCACTTAAGGAAGTGTCCTCACTATAATCATCAAAATCTTCAAGTTTAGGGCCATATGCTAGATCTTCTAACGACTCTTCTATTACATTCTTTCGTTCTTCTATGCCTAAGGTTCGGTTAGGACATTTGGAAGAGATGTGGCCAAAATCCTTACAGCTGATGCATAGCAAGTGAGAAGTCTTTGAAGTTTCACAAATTATACCTTATTTTCCAAAATTGGAGGAATATTAGACGGGGGAGATCCTAAAAGGGACTTAACAGGAGGAAGTGGAGCCACATTAGATGGGGGAGGTCCTAGAAGGGACTTAATAGGAGGAAGTGGAGCCAATGAAATCGAAAGATGATTGCCATTACGTTTTCTACATGAAGAAGAAGATCTTGGACTATCACGACCTTTACAATTATTTTTCCAAATAGGAGGAACATTAGACGGAGAAGGTTTTATGATAGACTTATGATGAGGCGACGCTAATGAGATGGGTGAACGACGATGACCACGCTTTTCATATGGAGTACTAATAATCAACTCATAATCTCGAGCTAAAGAATAAGCATGATTAAGAGTAGTGACACCTCGAAGGAAAAGCTCGCGCTTAAGATCATCTCTCAGACCTTGGCTAAACCTACTCAAAGTCATACTTTCATCCTCAATTAAATGACATTTGGTTCGAAATTCCTCAAATTGCGTGATATACTCAGTCACTAATTGATTTCCTTGTTTAAGGGCATTCCATTGAGTAAGAATTTCAAAATTATCTCGTTCTCGCTTACGAATCTGATCCCTATTCCTACGATCACGTCGAAAATATTTTTGATCACTTTGTCCACGATGATATTGTTTATTATGAGACGCTTCAGAATTAGTATCAGTTAAACGAGGGGTTCGCTTAAAATTGCTCAACTTAGCAGCTAGGTTCTTTCTCTCCTCACGAGTAGCAGTTATATCTGATTGGACAGACGAGAGGCTAGTGGCAAGTTGCGCTAATTGTCTAATGAGTGCATCAAATTGGGATAAATCCATGGTCAATGTATTGGAAATAGAGATGATAAGACGACCACTATGCAACTACATGCAATGTAATACCAGCTAAATGACGTGCTATGATGAGATCAGTGAACAATACGTGCAAGCAATGGAAAATAACTTGTACCTTTTTTTTAATTTAATTTTAAATATTGGGATTAATTAAATCCAAAACAAGCTAATACTGCTAGTATATGTAAAATGGCAAAGTAAGGGTCAACACTAGTCAAATTCTCCAATCAATTTAAGTGGGGAACAATGGAAGTCAATTCGGTCACTGGTGTCAATTCGATTAATGGTTTTGATCAAGTGAGGTTTAAGGCTAAAATTATCACAATAACAGCAGCACAAGATTTTAATTGATGCAATTTTAAAAATGAAGTAGTAGTATAAACCAATACTAAATAGAGATCAAGGACTCCCTGTTGTTTAGTTTTGATTATTTGTATGCCGCTTGATCTGAATTGCCGACTTATAAGCCCCAACTATGCTTCTGTTCTTCCCTTCGTATCCAATAATTTTAGCCCCTGTAGACTGTAACTTGTGCTGGTTCTGGTGTGGACGTAAAATTGTGTGCAGTGACTGTGGCTTTTAGATTGTTGATATGGACGAGAAAATATATGAGTGTTGTAATTGTGGTGGAAGTGTATGATCTTGGGTAGGTAGTGGTGGCCTATGGCGATGAAGCGTTAGTGCTCTAGATGCCTGGGTACAATAGATAATGAAGTGGTGGCGTGATGGTGATTAGAGGCGGCAGGGGCAAGAGAGTGGTTATGAGAGAGAAATCGGGTGAAACTGTGGGGTATTTGATTTTAATGGATTGGTTATAATCGGGTTTGGTTGGATATTTGGGACTGATCATGGGTTGAATGGTGTTGGGCCGATTGTGATAATATGTGATACGTAGGTTGGATTTAGTGTTTATTGGGCTGAAAAGCAAGTAGCTTGACTAAATAGATGATGAAAGATGGGCTGTGCATTTAGTGGGCTTTGGGAGTAATTTGGGCCACTAGCTTATGGCCCAAGTGTTTTGATAAAAAAATGAATGGAGTAGGTTATAGAGATGAAATATATGGGTTGAAGGGCTAAGTAGACTTGAATGCTAGGTTTGGGATTTGTGGAACAACACCACAATTTTTTATTTTTTTTATTTATGAGCAGCAGCAGTAGAGAAAAATGAGATTTTTTTTTTTGGTGTGAACAGTAACTTTTTTTTTGAAGCTGATAATACAAAAAAAAATGAATTTTCGGGTG